GAAACGGCTCACAAGGAATACAGTCTGGACTTAAACCAGCGTACAATTAGACTTTCGGACCCTGCGCATATCAGTAAACGACTGCAAGACTCAGCTGTGGCTGTGGCTGTACCCAGCTTCTTGGGCGTCTCTCGGCCGATCGGAAAACGGATTCATGGTCGTCCGAAGAGGCTCCAGTGGCCCAATCCGTCTTTCGTGCTGACATCTGAGTCGTGTCCATACTCGGGAAACATGGTAAGAAAGCACGGATACCCCTTGCACGTCATGCGATGTCGTCTGTCAAAGTCACCGGGGTGTTGCGGCTTGGTATCAGTTCACGCTCATGGCAACGACCGCAAGCGTGATAGAGTGAAGAACTTGCACTGCATTGTTCGGAACACTATATCAGTCAAGAAGTATTAAACCCTTGGGAACTCCAATCTACCCTTATGGAAACCATGTCCCGGGACCCCGCCCCAGAACTATCTGTCCGTCTCGGACCACCCCGCTTTCCCGGGAGGTTGACAGTATACTGATCGTAAGGTAAAGATTTTCCCCTGTCGATCAGTGGCTTCACAGCCACTTCTCCTCGATTGTGAAGTATCTGGAGGAGGAAGGCTTCGACGAGTAGGATCCGTCAGGCCGGGAGTGGTGGTTGATCTGTCGAACGCTTCTTATCACCCAAACAAAATTCCGAACATCTCTTATGAGGTCTAATCCAATACAATTGCAAAAGTAGTGCCTCTCGGTCGTTTCGTAGTGTCGCGTCACTGTTTATCCTGTTGTAGGGCCTCACGCCCTCTCAGGCCGCATGTGTTGCAGTCTATTTCGGCATCCACCTCGACGAGGCTGGAGGGTGCTCGGTTTCTCATCCGTACGTAGTGTTGCTACCGCTTGTTTAAGTCAGCTTGAGGGTACGTTCACAGGTGAAGCGACGTCATCTTACCTTGGACTCATCGGTGCGTGACCCAGGTTGGACTGAAAGTAAGGCTTTGGCATACCCAGCTGGGGTAGCTTGCGCCAACTTCGTTCCCGCACTTCTCTCATATAGGAGTCTTGCTCTGGGCTTCTGTGGAAACGTCTTGAGTCATCTTCAGGCTCTCCGCCGTAGAACCGGTAGACAGCGAAACCGCAGCAGACGAGCGCGCCTGCTCCGAGGATGACGAGAAATATGATGAGGGCTGGGGCGATGTCGAAGCCCATGTTGTTTCTTTTTTGAAGATACATTGCGACTGCGGAGGAAGGGGTATATGCTGTGGTACAGAATCTCGTGCGACGGGAGCGAGTGATATAGAGATGGAGTAGTGTTTGCTGTGGTGACACGCTCACGATCAACAAAGGTAAGGCAGAGAGTGAGCCTAATGCGCGGAGGTTCCGGAAGCTGCAGGAGTGACAAGAAAAAGACCGAGGGGATGGTCAGCGTTGCGCTGACGACGACGAAATAGTATGGTGTGATGCGGCAACGTCCCACAGACACCGAGTTGCGAGACCCTGCGTGCCACGATCACTTACCTATATACCGTTACACCTATCGCTTCGGGAACCGCAAGGTCTTCCAGATCGTGCGTCTGATGCGAACCAAAGACCCAATCGGTTGCTAGGAGGATGCGACCCTTTCACCATGCTATTGGCTGCGTCACATATTCACGTGCCTGGGCAGCCAGTAAAGCTGCGTTACCCCACCTATCGACCACGTCTAAGACCAGTTGGCACTCGGAAACGCGTAACACCCCAGCTTCGTCTGCTGCGTAGACACGCGTGGAAGTGTGGTTTCCGGACAGCCCGGGGAGGCTATGTTGGCTGGAAGGTTTCGGACCTGAACTTGGCCCGACTCTTGGAGCCTCTGGTTTCCTTAGCTTTGTATACTGCGATATGTCCTCCTTTTTCGTCTGCCTCTGGGCGCAATTTTGATGCGAATATTTCTGTCTTTTGGGGCTGTGAAGGTGAATGTTCGCTGGGGACGCCTGTGGTGGTACGGTCTTACTTAGCCTTGGTGACGCGTCATCCGCACCTTCCAGGCATGCCGAGCGTCAGATTCCCCACCTCCTCAGGCCAACAGCGAGAGCATCAGCTTTCTTATATGAAGATGCGACACTCAGTGACGCAAACTTTGTTCCTGGACGATGCGCATCGTTCGCCGATCGTGAGGCACGTCAGAGCGATAAATTTAGCATAACAGCGATGACGTCGCACCGTCCCTCGCGCCCGCCCTGACGATCCCTTGAGCCCAAGCTTCTTACACCTTCGACGTCCTTCTTCTGGTCCTCCTCTTTGACACTCTGGTTGTTGAGATGAGATTTTACTGATTCCCATGGTTGCGATACACTGAAGCCAATGCTTACAATCGACACGTGATCCTCTTTGACGCAGATGCGCATCCTTCGGTAGCAACACATGATGGTACCCAGGTATGCGCTCCAGCAAGGGCGGGCGTAGTCGGCGCGCGACGGACGCAATGGTTTCAAAGACCCCAAGCGCCAGTCGCGCCGGCGACGTTGATCCTACCTGACGCAGCAAGAGAATGTTAATGGGATCTCTTATCGAGAGAGATTGTCGATGCTGCCTTCCTTCTGTTGAGTCTCCAGGGTAATCTGTTATGGCCGGACACACACCGAGCGACGAGATTCTGGACCTGGAATTGGTAATGGGCATTTACACCAACAGGCCCTCCACGAATCCAGATCAGGGCATCTCGGAATTAGCAATCAGCGTATCCACTCTTCGAAAAGACATCAAGAGACGGAGAAGTTGAGCAAACCAGTGCTTGAAGAATCGAGGCTACATCGTGGTCGGAGTAGATGGAATACCTCTCTAGATGAGTTGCACTTCGTGTGACCTGAGACGTTTCAGAGATGCACGCATCGATCGCCAGCCTTGTGCAAGAGATGCATCGCCACAAAGTGGGTTGACGTTCGGGTTCGCGGTCCGTGATTAATCTATATACATTAAACGCCCTGGGTTTTGACGCCACCGGATATAATCGACTCGGATGCAGCAACACTTGCAGCAACACTGCAAGTATGTCCAAGACCCCACGGGGTATTAGTTACACTGCATTTCGGTAGCCGTAGGGCTTACATTATGACTGCCGTAGATCCGTGCTGGTTCCCGTGAGCTGCTGAGTTGCGCCATCAGCGGAATGTTAGGCATCGCATCGTTACTCTCGGCTGTTGAGTACCTGAGCATGCAGCTTGATACAACAACGACAATATTCTTCGTTGAGTCCCGTCAATACACCGAGAGGTCCACATCGCCCAGAGTTTAAGTAAACAAAGTACCACAACGTAGTGGCTGAAACTCGCACGTGGTTGGTGACCACCTGGACGGCGGCAGTGGCCGCAGCCGAGGATAGATTGCCCATCACCACTTCAAGGACAGCACTGCGTCTCATAAATTAATACTGGAGTCATTGAAATTCTCCTAGCCTATCGCAGTGGTTTCACGCCGTCACCAGACTGGAACCATCGCTGGGCTTCCAATGATCCAAGAGCTCGACGACCAGGGCGTGTTTCCACGAGCGGATGGCGTTCAACTCAGAAACCAGGTCGACTCGTGCATGGAGATGAATTTTTTGATTGCAAGGCTTCGCCAATACCTGGTCGTGGGAAAACGTGGGCGTCTGTAGAAGGCCACTAGAAGACTTCAGAGGAGTATATGAAGGGGCGTTAAGTCCCAGGTTGAAGGTCACTCTCGACAGCAAGCCCATCACTACACAGCTTCAACAATCGCTTTCTACAAGTCATTCACTTTGAATACCATCAACATGCTCTCTTTCCTCCTCCTTCTCGCGCCCCTTGTGGCAGCCCACGGCCACGTCGACAAGGTCGTTGCCGACGGCAAGGAATACCAGGGCTGGAACGCTGCTCTCAAGTACCAGACCCCCATTCCCGCCACCGTAGGGTAAGTGACTCTGTATGAACTGCACGGGAAACACACACTGACTCAGTCCCAAAAGATGGCAAGCCGACAACCTTGACAACGGTTTCGTCTCCCCTGACAGCTTTGGCACTGCCGCCATCGTTTGCCACAAGCAGGGCAAGAGCAACGGTGCCTACGTTACCGTCAAGCCCGGCAGCAAGGTCACCTTCAAGTGGGACACCTGGCCAGTCAGCCACGTTGGTCCCATCCAGGAGTACATTGCGCCCTGCAACGGCGACTGCGGCTCCGTCAGCCCCTCTGACCTGAAGTGGACCAAGATCCAGTCTAGCGCCTGGAAATCAGGAAGCAACCCAGGAAAATGGGCTACTGACGACCTCATCGCCAACAACTTCGCCTGGGACCTCACCTTCCCCAACGTCGCTCCTGGCAACTACGTTGTCCGCCACGAGATCATCGCTCTGCACGCTGCTGGCCAGACCAACGGCGCCCAGGCGTACCCCCAGTGCGTCAACTTCAAGGTTGAGGGCTCTGGAACTGCTAAGCCCAGCGGCGGTGTTGCTGGTACTAGCTTGTACAAGGTAAGATCTTCCACTTGAGTCGTACCATGCTTAGGTACAATATCGAACATGTGCTAACGATATGATTTAGGCCGACGATGCTGGTATCAAGTTCAACGTTTTCCAGTCCTTCACCAGCTACCCCGTCCCCGGCCCTGCTGTCAACAAGCTCGCCAAGCGCCACCCCAAGGACCTCGAGTACTAGATACGAACACGAATAACGAGATATGAGAAGTCGTGAGGGCATAGGATGGGATGAATGGTTCATGGTTACATACTTCTTTGGGGTCGCTCGTTAAGGCTTGCGAGACGGTGTATATAAAGCATTGGTGGAGTGTATATAGCATTTTGGAATCACACTGCGTTATCTTTGGATCTTAATGCTGCCGGATAGCGCTCAGCGCCCTGTGATTGTACACGTGAGGACCTGATTAGCTAGTGTGATAAATCTCAGTCACAACGAGCATAGTGAAGACTGGAAGAGAATAGCTGCTGAATTAGGTCAAGGAAACTGTACAACCTGTGGAAAAAAAAAACTTTTTGCCCCATGAGAGTTATCGTCCCCTGCACGCTCCTGCAATCACCTCATGCACTAAACACACTCAATGCCGCCAAACATGGTCGACAGCGTAATGCCCCTCCGTCTGGGCACTCCCATAAGCCGAACTGTGCAGCACTTTTCTTTGTATAGCATTGTGGACACGGCTCATTCTGATACTCGACGTGCTTCCATCCCAGTTCAATACTCTCATCTCTTAGCTTTTCTTCATTTCCGGGTCCTCCTACCTCCCGAAGCCTTTCGCTGTGTTTCCGCCTGGCCTGCTCGAGTGCCATGAGTTTTCGGAGGCGGGAACTTGGAGCAGTAGCTGTCTCGACCTTAGAAGTTTTTGCGTTTGCCATGTTTTGCTCGACATCATCAGTGGTAGGCCGCTTGAGCGATTTGGAATCGTTTTCTTGGCGACGAAGGCGCTCTTCAGCTGCTTCGGCATGTCGCTTCTGTGCATCGGCGAAGACCTTGGCCTGTCTCTCGTCCGCATCGCGCTGTTTCTTAGCAAGTCTTTCTCTTTCTAGACTTTCGTTGTGAGCCGATCTTGTAGATTGACCGTGTTCGTCTTCATTTGGTCGAGGTATCTCCTGTTGCTTTCGAAGTCTCTCATTAGCGGCGGCGTCATTCATGCGTCCGGCTTTACGAGCTTGCTCTTTTGTTCGGTCTTCCGCAAGACGCCAGCGTTCTCTTAGCTCATCCTTTTCGTCTGATGCTCGCGGTGATGATCCAAACCCCTTGGCAACGTTTCGTTCTTTCTGGGCCTTCACCCAGTCAGCTTTTATACGGGTTTCTTCCTCAGCTCGTGCTAGCTCCTGTTGCCTGTGTTCCTCCTGGAGACGCTCTTTCGCGTATTGTGCTTCTCGCTCTCGTTGACGGATTCCTTCTTCCATCCAGTTTCGATGATTAGCCTCCCTAGCTCGACGTCTAGTGGCCTCCTTGGCCTTTTCTTCTAACACTCTTTGTTTTTCCTTCTCGATCGTCATGTTTTCCTCGCGAACCTTTTGCTGTCGTGCTGCGGCTCTAGCATGTCGTTGCGCGATTTCTCGTTGCTCATCGTTCCATTTGGCGAGGTTTATTCGATAGACGTCCCATTGCTTTCGTATGTTAGGGTAACTTTTGTCATATCTGGCGCGCTTCCCATCGCTTTCGAGCGTATCCCAGGCAATGCCGGCCTTATGGTTAATAATTAGCGGAATGTCATCAGTTGTCTGATGAAAGTACTCACGTTTTGGAAGTGCTCTGTGCTGGGTGCAGCACCAACCCTTCTACTGTCAGGATGGTATGAAGCTTGTAATCGCTTGTGACATCTCTCTATCGTAGCATATGATGCGCGTTCATTAACTCCGAGAATTTCATAATAGTCGAGCTGCTCTGGGGGATTCGGTGGGCCGTTCATATTGTCGTTTGCTATAGAGCCGTGAAGGTGGTGCAGTGATTGAGATGTATGGAATGTATGGAATGTTAGAGGTGTCAGATGTGGTGGTGTAGAAGGAATGGAGAGATGGAAGCATTGGAGACTTTATATGTGTGACAAGCGTCTCTCTTACCAGGCGGTCAGAGAGCGGGGTGTCTTGACAGGTAAGAGAGGGAATGTAGAGTGTGCCTAAAGAGCGGTAAGATGTATAATAGCACATGGTGAGATAGGTGTAGCGAAAACATCGTAAGAGAACATTGAGGGTGAGAGGACGAGATAATTTTGCTATCTATTTCCCTAGTAGTTTAGAACTATTAGCTAGAGAAACAGATAGCAGCACATACTTTCTACCTTTACCTTAGATGCTCTAGTACACCTCGTAATTTACCTTTACCTTTACCTTTGCATCGGATGATCACCAAACTGACTTCGGTTCCCCATCTGCACACCGTGGCTTTGCATCTCTTTACCATACTCCATTACTTCTTCCTCCCACTTCTTCAGCGCGTCCATTGCTCCTCCTTCGATAACCTTGTCGACAGCGCCAGCAAGCTTCATCGCGTCTAGGGCAGCTTGGTTTGTACTCGCCGCTGTATGTGGTCTGAATCCAGCAAGTGCATCGCCAAGCAAGAGTACTCTACCGTTCTCCAACAAGGCAGATGGCGCGATGACATCTGTGATGGCTTGTACGAAGGGTACCTCAGTCTTGTTGACAAGCTCAGCGAATTGTGGTGGGAGTATCTCATTCGCGAGGGCCTTTTGCCGTCTCCATACATCTTCTTTAATTCCACCCGGCGGTAATGTGATGTGATGTCTCTTCCCCTCGTTGTCTGTCATGAGCTCGACGTGCTCCGGCGATTCTTCCTTGTAGTTGACGTACCAGACCCAGTTCAGCAATCGCTCACCAGGTTTGGTTGTCCCACTTTTCCCTGGTATAGTATATGCTAGTATCTGGATACCCTCGGTGTGGTAGAATGGGAACTTCTCGACGAAGACATCGGTGGCAGCCTGTGAGACTTGCGTTTCGGGTACTGTGCCGCGCCATGCTACGTATCCGGCGTACGTCCGCTTGACGTCGGGGAAGTATTCGGCGCGTATCTTAGAGCTGGGTCCGTCGGCTGCGATGACAAGGTCGGCTTCGGTCGAAAACGTGTCCCCGGATTTGTGTTGGACGGTGATCTTGACAGGTTCTGAGAAGTCCAACTCCAGAGATGATGCAGGTTTTGGTGCCGCAACACTCGTAACTGTACACCCATACTCATACGATGTCTTTCCCTCCCCTTCTTCCGTCGTGGGTACCTTCGCGTAGTCGGTCTCAGTGCCATCGTAATTGGTTCGTAGAAGGTGGTATAGCAGATCCCAGCTTGTCATGCGCTGCTCCTGGTTGTGACGGCTTATGACATGGCCTTCCTTATCGAGATATAGCCGCTGGTGACTCGGGATTGTCAACGTGGTTTGAGTTCGGTCGTGCGCTTTGAAGAACTTTTGTACGTCCTGTCCGGCCACCACACCAGCGCCCTGATCCTGCAGAAGCGGCGTCGGATTGCGTTCGAATATGCGGATGTTGAGATCTTTGCGAAGGCGCTTCAATGCGACACCAGTCAGAAGGCCGCCTAAGGATCCTCCTACGATTACTATGTCCTTGGGCTTTGCTGGTGCCATCGTGCTGTGTTGCGAAACGATGTGTATGGGTCAGAGGCCTTGAGCTGCCAGCTCAATATGGTGAATGCTACATCTTAAGCTCTAGGTCGATCATGATCTGCCCAAGGATACAGTCTTGTATTACCGTTCGATGACATGTTCGAGGATCAGTCGACGTGGGTGCCGGTCAAACATCGCGACTAATGGCAAGCCTCGGCAGTTGAAGCAGCGCTTATGTCATCATGACGCGCACTTATCTTCCACTCTTACCTAGGCACCCTCACGAAGTCAGAGTAATTACCCGCCAACCTATAGACACATGGTGCGCTTATGCAAATATGTTTCTATCGTGTTTATTGTTCTTTCTGTTATATACGTACAAAGCAACTGCAACCTACGCACGCCTGGGTATCCACCAAAGCAAGAATTGAACCAAAAGCTAACACGAGTCGTCTCACACGCAACGCTAAACCTCCTGAAAGACCCTCGGAGGCGATGCAGAACTCATCGACACCTCTGGCGCACCGCGCGCTTCGCTCTCTCTCGCCAATTGACTCGCGAACTTGCTCTTCGCACGAATCGCCGGACCCTTGAAATAAAAGATGTATACCGGCAGACAAAACAGCGCTGTCAAGCCAAACAGTACCAAATACGACCTCTGAATACCTAGGTTGCTGTACATGGGCTTGGTGTAGAGCGCACATAAACCCGCGAGCAGATCTCTCATGAAGCCGTTGCCACCAGTCGCCGACGCGCTGTGTGGTCCGTAGGCGGCGACCATGTAATCGATGGACGCATAGTAGATGGCGAAGTTCGCGACTCCAATGAGGAGAGTGGCGATTATGACGCCGAACCAGTGGAGTGGTGGCCCTGTTGCGACGAATGCGCAGATGAGCAGCCCAGCAGGAAGGAGGGTGACGAGCCATAGGAGTGGCTTGAGACGTGCCTCAGGTGCGAGCTGTTCGCCTCGGCTACGTCGAGTGTTGTGACGGGCGATGATGGGGACAAAGGTGAAGTAACCGATGATGTATGAAACGGCTAATGCGACGAGAGCAAGCGAGATCTGCGTAGGCGTGAACGACCATTGTTGGAAGACATAGCCGAAGCTCTCGAAGAAAGAGAAGATGAGCGCGTCAGCGAGACCGCTCAGCAGCGAGAGGAAGAGAACGATGGGCTCAGTCAAGAGCAGCTGGTATGGTCGAAACATCGTGGTGGCAACCTCCTTGTAGTGCAGCCTGTCTCTCCATTTCTTGTCTTCATTTGGTCCCCGGATGTTGACATTACCGCTCTTTCGTTCCTTCTTCGCGGCGTTGTCGAGCATCACAGGAGCCAAAGTCTCTTTGGCGATGGCCCCATGAAGTAACTGGGTCGTTACTCCAAGGATGAGCTGGATGTAGAAGTTCCAACGCCAACCCAGGAACTGCTCGAGCGGACCTCCGATAATGCCTCCAATGACTGCTCCGAGACAAGAGAAGAGCGAACACCACAAGACGGCATATTGCTGCTCATCTTTGTGATAAATGTCACCGATCATGCCCATGGTGACTGATCCACCAGCCGAAGACAAGCCGCCCATGATCCTGCCACCGATGATTCCGGCAAAGCTGTTAGACGTGGCGCAAATCAGGACCGAGATGTTCGTCAGCCCAAGAGAGGCTTGCATGACGGGCCAGCGTCCGAATTCCTCAGAGAACGGGGCCCAGAACTCGCAGCCGAAGGCATATGCGATGAGGAAGGCAGTCATACCCAAGCGGGCGTTGGTGATGCCGAAGTAGTCGTTCAGCAGAGGCACGGCGTTGGAGTATACCGAGGCGTTGAGGTTCATGCTGATCTGACAGAATGCGACCACGGTCAAAAGGCACCACTTTCGTTTTGTGGACCAAGCGTGCGCAGTGCGTTCGGGCGAGGTGTGTTCGTTGAGGATGATGGTGGGCGCGAGGCCGGGGGCCGAAGGTTGTGGCGCCAGTGTGGTTGAACTCCCCAGACTGGTACGCGACTGCGCTGGGGAAGAGTTGGTGGAAGCCATATCAGAAGACATGAAGTTTTCTGTTGCTGTTATTTGTGTGTGGTGTATTGGATTGTATGATAGTAGTGTCTTGAGATAACTATCTTAGGAAGGTTGCATTGAACATGCGAGATTATATACTAAGACAGTATGATTTTACGATGGATGCTCAACTTTGGATCATCGTCAGTCACGTCAAAGTACTGTGGTTCTGTCATTTTGCGCATCATGGCTCATCCTATGGGAGAGGGTACATACTAAGCGAAAACTTGGAGACCGACCACATGCACACCACAACCATGGTACGCAAGTAAAGTCCAGTAAGTAGAGTAGAATCGGCATCATTCGTGTAGTCGTCCCACTATACTGCTAGGTAGTAAATATCTGTGAGTACTGCACCATGGGTGGGCGTAGTCGGCGTGGGCCCCCGAAGGTCACCTGACTTCGTCTTCCGGCAAGAGTACCTACGTAGTTGAGACACGGTTGCAGAAAACGAGTAGCGGGTTCGCTAAGTGTCGTGTTCAAGATCTTGAGTGACAATCTCTATGCTCAGCGAGCGTCTCTAGTACCAATGATCAGTGCCCAGTAGGTAGCACTTTGAGATACAGCAGTCTTGTACGCGAGAGGCCCGCTTCCCCACGAAGCAGTATCTCCATAGATCCAAGACCATGGCCTTTATCGTCCTTCGGCGCATTCTATACAAGGAAAGAGATGAACGAGTCTGCAGCCTACATTAAGATGAAAACATGCAAAGTAGATGATCTAACGTCAACGTAGGCTCTAGGGTGTTCAGAAAATTTCCTGAACGGGGTGGGCGCATGATATGATGTCGCGTGGCAACGACACAATGATCGGAGATCATGAATACGTTGCCGGATTGATGAACTGCTTATAGAAATGTTATAAAGTATTCTCTATAATGCGTGGCAGTGACGGTAAGATTATGTTTGTGTTTAGCAGGGTTAATTCGAGGCCATTTTAGCACATGACGCTAAGAATACTAGACGTGCGGAAGTCCGTCAGTACTTGATCATATGTATGGTTTCGGTAATGACATATGATCTTGTTGAGTGTGAGGCGAACTCAAAGTCAAAGTGTTAGCGCGTCAGCGCGTCATTTCGCCAATACCACATAACAACGGCAGGGGGTCGGGTTCGCGGGTAGGTACACCACGATATGTAGCAACCCAGTCCAAAACTGTGTTTGCAGGTGAATTAATTGGGCGTCGAGGTCGTACAACGCTCAATCTCTCGACCGCATCCTTGTACCTGATCACGTTCGCAGAAACCAGACGAAGCTCCCACCCTCCTCGGTCGGATGCTGCATCGATATTCAG